TCATTGTTGTAAACAAACAAGAAAGGGCTTGCCCTTGCCAAGAGAATTAATGTCCCTATTGAGCATATTAAGCGCTCTAAGAGCCTAGACAGCTCCCTGAAACATGGAAAGAAAATGATCAGCAAAAAGGAAGCCAAAGGGAAAAGGTACTTGGGTTCAGCCGAAGTATCCTGCTCCACCCAGAGAAGCACACTGAGAACAGGTGAGAAGGAGTCTGGGCTGCTGGGCCCCATCCCCTGTGACTCCATGGCAGGAGAGGAGGGAAACAAAATTATAAAAACCTCTGACCTATTTTAAAAAAGAGTCATGGCAGGAGTAGATTGTAGGATAACCAAAGTGACTCCATCTTGTATCAACACCATCTTAGGCCTGTGACTGGTAATTGCCCTTCCCTGGGGGACAATTTCTCCCTCATTTATTGTATGTGTATTAATCTGTACGGATCTAAATTCAGTTTAATATTAATAGAACTAAGACACAAGTGACACATGCTTTGGGAACATCTGCGGTCATTATTCTTATAAAGATTGTACACTCTTGTGTATGTTCGATTATAAGAAGGTGTAAGAGGGCCCTCCCTGGTGGTGCAGCAGGTTAAAGCACTGCACTACGAAGCTAAAGCCACTTCAGCTAGAGTTTGATCCTCTCCTCAGAGGTGACCACATGGCACAACAGACCTCTCCTGACCTGCCTGCTGCTCCCCTCAGCAGTGGACTTCGTCTGTCTCTGGTGAATTCTCTCACTGCCCCTGCATAAGTAAATAAATCTTAAAAAAAAAAAAAAAAGGTGTAAGAACTAAACTACTAAACTGGTATAAGAAGATCCCTGTCAGGGTCAGGGTGTGACTCCTGCCTCAACCTAAAGTCCTGTCCACCCTCCCTATGCTGAGGGCCCGTCTATACGTTGTCCTAAATAATTTATGTGTAATTAATGGATGTGCTTGCTTCATTCTTCAGACTCAAATTACCTTCTCCATTTAGGGTAATTTATTTGTTCTTACCGGCACATACATGTATACTCATACATGTACACACACACACACACACATATATATATATATGTGTAGTGTGCATATTTTTTTATTGCATATGCGTTCTGGGACTTGCTATAAAATAGTTTTTAAAAAATAGCCCTACACGGAGTGGGGAATGGGATTAAAAACGGGGGGGGGGGAAGGGAGGGAAATGCACGGGACTATGGTGGTGGCACAGGGGTGATTTGGTGATGGGAAACCCGCGGGGATTACAATCGAGATGGAAAAAAAAAATGTGCAAAATGATGTAAAAATAAACTTTGTAATAAAAAAAAAATAGCCCTACAAGCTAAGATTGGCCTGCAAAGGGCTGGCCAGGAAAAAAGGAATCTGCCAGAAAAGCTAGGGCCAGAAGGAAGAAGAGGAGATACGGAATTCAGAAATGCAGTTCCCAAAGTAAGAGACTTTTCCTTTCTTGCAGGAGAGATCTCTGGGGAAGAACTGTTCCACCCAGCCTGCTCCTGATATGGACAGAGAGAAAGAACTTTGGCAGGGCCAGGCTTCAAGAACTGTATCACCCCTTCGCCCTAACACCAAGACTTTGGAGAGAATTGATATCTTTACAATCAAATCTTTCTTTATTAGTACATAGTTAATTTTTTCACTAACTTAGAATTTCTTAATGCCTATCAATAAGATTTTCTCATTTTCCCCCAAAAGGTTGCAGATCTATTGCTAAATTTATTCCCAAGGCCCTGTGTTGCTATTGCCAATGGTATTTTAACTTTTATTGAGGTTTATCATAAATAGGCAAAAGTGAGGTTCATGTAACTAAATGGTACATTTTTAAAAGTTAAACATTGTTACTAATGTTTGTATATGATAAAAAGTAATATATTTTGTATATATTTTTTCTATATTAATTTTATAAAGACTTGTTATACTCATCAATTCTATCTGAACGTTCTTTTGGGGTTGCTACTTGTGCAATGATTTCATCTGCAAATACTGACATTTTTGTTTCTTTTCAATCTTTATGTATTTGTTGTTCATTGGACTAGCTAAAACTTCCATTATTGTATTTGTTTTGTCCCAACTTCTGTGACCGGCTGCAAAAAAAGGCGGGAGGCAGAAAGGCTGAGCAAGCAGTTTATTGCTCCCGACAGCAGCTGAGACAGAGCCCCTACAGCTCTGTCGCAGCTACTGCCAACCTTCCCAAGGGGGAAGGGTCTCATATAGATTCTAAACTCAGACTCCAAAGGGGTGACTCATTGCTGTGTCCTTGATGTGAGGCCCAGTTCACTATCACCTTCAGTTAGTCCCATCCAGGATCTCAAGGTCAGTTTATTACCACTTTATCAAGCTTGGATGCAAGGCTCAATTCTTTACTGCCGTAATTCAGTCCTTGTCAGTAAATCTTTGGTCACTCCCAACAGTATTGACCAGGATAACTGAGAGTATACAGACTTGCCTATTCCTCAGTCTTAACTGGAATGCTTTCAACATTTCATCTTTATTGAGATGTGCTCTATAGAAATTTTGAAGATGTCCTGTGTTCAGGCCTGGATCTTTAAAAAAATATACAAAACTATCAGTGGCGGGCCTCCCTGTGGTGCAAGTTGTCTCAGCACTATCAAGATATCAGCAGTTTAATACCCAGCCAGGGAGGAAACCCACATGGCGCAGCAGACCTCTCCTGTCTAGCCCTCTGCTCCCCTCAACAGTGTATTTCAATCTGCCCATTCTGCTCCCCACTGTCTCTGGTGAATCCTTACCTCTTCTCCCCTCCCCCACCTCTGGCTAGTACTCCAGTTCTTGTATGTATAAATAAATCTTAAAATAAAACTACCAATGAAATTGACTATATTGAGTTGTTTTTCTGCATCAATTGAACTAAGCACCCCTCTTTCCTTAATCTAATGGGTTTATATTTCTCCTAGCCTAATATTGTTTTCTAGCTTTGTAAGCATCTTCTGTTATATATATCTTCTCATGTTTCCCTTTTCAGTTCTCCCTCTTTACCTACTCATTAAATGTTGGTCTTCTCTAGTTTCTGCCTTTATTCTTCTTGTCACTCTTTTTTCAAGCTCCTACTTTTTTGTAGGTCTCCTAGGATCTGAAAAGTTGGGAGATAATAGGGTTTTCAGATACCGTGTCTTCCCACAATCTGTTCCTCTCCACAAGCAGGTTTGAATCCAACTCAAAACATTGACAGATTGGTGGCTAGAGTTCCAGTTCTGTCAAGCTGCAATTATGCACTGAGACAGATCCCTAAGTGGCCTGCCTTTGAATCTCAAATAAAATCCCTGTCCTGTCTCCCCTCAGAATAAATATGGTAGAACAACTCTCAGATTATTCACAAGTTAGAAATCGTTCTTGGTACCAAGATTGTTAGAGGTGGTGAGATAATGGAAGTCGTTTGGATTTTGAGCTGATGGTGTAACATGGTAGGGAGAGAGGGGCACCACTGAACCCCTAAACCTGCCTGCTCTAAATAGGTTTTTGCCATCTGCCACATCAAGACAAAACATTGTATGAAAAGGAACTTTAATACAATGAGTATACAACACAGAAGACAAAGAATATAATTTATAAATCAAACATCTGGTTACCCATCCTCTCGTGGGCAAAAGTCCACCCAAAAGGGACTGGCCCAAAGCAAGGCCTGAAAGCTGCCACAAGAGTAAAGCACCTTCTGGCCTGGCCCCATAGAAAAGGATCAGACATGGCCAGACAAGTCTGGGAGGAAAAGAGCAAAATCAAAATCAAGATAAACACTGCCATAGTCACCTCCCTATGGGTCTCTCACCCACATCTCTTTCACCCAGTCCAGGGCCAAGAAACAAGCACGGGTTCTTCACATGTCTCCCTTTGCTCCATGTGACTTCCTCAGGGCTCCTTCTGGCTCCATCCAGCCTCCTCCAGATTCCTTCTCTTCTCTGCTCAGCTCCACCCTCCTTCTGGGTGGGGCAGGGAACCCGGAACTTCCCCTTTTCCTGGGGACCACCCTGTGACAATGGAATCTAGAGCCACTCCCAAACCAGCTCTGTGACCCTGGACTTGTTAACATTCAACATTTCTTGCGTAGCTTCGCAGATAATATATGCAAAGCCTTGGCAGAGTAAGAGTTCATTGAATGCAGTGATTATTAAGCGAAACTTACAACGCGCATATAATAAGCATGAATCACTCCATAAATGAAAGCAGTGCACCGTCCCTGCTACGACGATCCTAAGCCAGTTCCCCCAGTAACAGTGTTACAGGGTAAGCCAGCGTGGACATCCTTCCCCTTAACAACAGCACTCAGGTACATACAGAAGTGGGGTGAGGACTGAAGAATTCTGTCCCCCTAGTCCGCAAAGCCCAGCGCCAGGATTCCACGAACGCCAAGTTGTACCCAAGGCCCCTAAGTTTGGTGAGACCTGCCGAAATGAGCCGGGAGCGCGCAGAGGCTGGCAACCTCGCAGCCGCCTGGGGGCTCCAGCTCGGATTCCGGGACCAGTCGCACCCGGTGGGGAGACACGGCGCCAGAGCTGCTACCGGGGAAGCCACGGGCGTCACGCGTGCGCTCCCCACTCACGTCGCTAGGGGCGCTCTCCCAGAATGGGTTCTCGTTGCGCACGCGCAATCCTTCCTCCAACTTCCCGCCCCCAGCCAGTTCTGTTCCTGCGGCGCGTTCCCTTAATTTTCCACCCGGCGCGCGCCGCTGCGAGCCGAGCGGAAGTCCAGCGCGACGGCGGCCAGCGTAGGGGCGGGGTAAGAGAGGGCAAGTGGAGCCGGAAGTGTAGCTAATTAGCCTGCCTCAGTGCGGGCGCAGGGGAAGCTGGAACTCGGAGCCTCCTTTCGGGCGGGGTGTGGCCTCGGGAGGCGGAGGGCGCTGCGATTGGCCGTCGGCTGTGGCGACGGCGACGATTGGCCCCGGCTGGCGGAGCGGGTGAGTAGATGGTGGCAGTTGAAATTCAAAAGTGGCGGGTGTGGCGCAGGGCTGGTGGCGGCCGGGGCCCGGAGCGCGCGTGGTTTGCGTCGCGAGCGGGCGAAAGAACGCCGGTCTTGGGAATCTTGGTGCCCTGTCCTCTTGCACTGAACCCCCTTGACGTGTGTAGGTCCGAGCTGGACATGGATCCGCAGGTGAGTAGGGCCAGCGCGAGTCACCCCCAACACTGACGAGTCCCCTGCTCCCGGCCGGTTATGTGCCCCGCCTTCCTGGAGGGCGAAGCTGGAAAGGGGTGAGTGAGAATGGAGAAGGCAGGGAGCAGCCCGAGATCGGAGGGCCAGTCGGTTGGCCCAACTCTGGGGCTCGAGGTCCCCACCCCCTTCTTCGCGTTCCAGTTTCTGGGATTTCCCGTTTTCAATTCTTGGGCTGACACGTCCCCGCCTCTCCATTCCTACTCACGACTGCAGTTTGTGATTGAGAAGAGAGAGTTCTGAGAGGAGCCCTCCCACTGGGAAAATGGTATCTGAGGCCAAACCCCTGTCTGTGTCCTTCTCATTGCTCAGGGTGTAGGGTGGGGAGAGCATGTAGTGCGTGATGAAGGATCGCTCTTTTTCTCTCCTTCCGCAGGTTTTGCAGAAACAGGAGATGGTTGACTTTGTTCTTTAGAGCAAATTCCTAAAGAGTTGTACAGAAAAACTGGGATGGAGTGAGCAAGGGGGAAGGTTGTTGTGGGAAGGGGACATCAGATAAGGGAGAGTGGGGTTGTTGATCCCAGTGCTTGTAGGGGTCGTTGTGAGCACTGTGACTTTTACCCTGAGTGAGAGAGGGGGATCATTGAATGATTTTAAGCAAAGGGATGAGATTTGTTTTACATTTTAGGCGATTATTCAAGCTGCTGCATTGAGGTTAGACTGTAACAGTCAAGAGTAGAAATAGAACATTTAGGAAAGTGGCAGGTTTTCTTGACTATGTGCATTGTCTGATATTTAACAGATTCAGCTTTCCTAGCCTCTCACCCACTAGATGCCAGTAGCAGTCCTCCCCCAATCATGACAAAATGTTTCCTAACATTGTCAGCTTTCCCCTGAGGAATAAAGTCACCTTCAGTGGAAAATTAGTGGAATATGATGATCTAGGTGGGAGATGACCAGGGTAGTAGCAATGGAAGTTGTAACAAAGGATCTGATTCTGGATACTTTTTGTTGAAGATCAGATCAGCTGACATAAGGTATAGAGGACTGAGAACTTTGGGTGTTTTAGATTAAGCAACTGAAAGACTGTAACTGACATGGACAAAACTGAGTGGAACAAGTTTGAAGGCAGTTGTCTATCAAGAGGTCAGTTTGGGTGGGTTGAATTTGACATGTCAGTAGATATTCAGGTGATTCCATGTAAATTCAGAAATGAGATTAACATTCAGTAGTTGTTATCCGTGGATGATATTTAAAGCCATGGGAGTGGCCTGAAGTGTAGATGGAAAATAGAAAGACCACTGTTTAGAGAGATATGAGGGTAGGAAAACCAAGAGGATGGTCTCCTGGAAATTGAATGAAAAAGGTGTATTAAGGAAGCGAGAGTGATGAGAATCAAATGCTGCTCTTGGTGAAGAAATAAGAAGATGAAGGATTTGAGTTAGCAAACATGTGGTTACTTGTGACCTGGACAATAATTTTGATGGAGTGATGGGGTTGAAAGCCTGATGGGGATAGGGATAGGAGAGAAATAGCACACAGTAAGTACTATATGAAGAACATTTCTGCAAAGGTTATCAGAGGAAAACAGTAGTAGCTAGCAGGGAAAACTGAATGAAGAGACTAGGTTGGAACAGTAATAGGGTAGTGTACACTGATAGAAATGATCGAGTAGAGGGTGGAAAGTTGATGATATAGAGAGAAAAAGAATTGCTAGAGCATTGTTCCTGAGTAGACAAGGGTGGGATCTGGTGATAGTGGGGGGTTGCTTTGGGAAGGCATCCATCTCTGATCTTCTGGGAGATAGGAGAGGTTGGTGAGTGTCTATTGTATAGAAGGTTAATTGCTTATGCTTCTCATTGTGGAAAGTTGGGAGTCACCATGTATAGCTTATAGATGAGAGAAAAATGCTCTTTGGGGTTTCTTTTTTTGAAGATTTATTTATTTAGGTATACAAAAACTAGGGTATAGGCCAGAGGTACAAGGGGTGAAAGGATTTACCAGAGAGAGAGTGAGGAGCAGAACATGGATTGACAGAAATACACTGCTGAGGGGAGCAGCGGGTGAGACAGGAGAGGTCTGACATGTCATGTGGGTCAGCTTCCTGGCCAGGGATCAACTCATGCTGCAGTGGCTATGGGTAGCTTCAGGTGCTGTGCTTTAATCCCTTGTGTGACCAGGGAGCCCCTCTTTGGAGTTGTTTTGAATAAACCAAACTTTGAACATATTTTCTGAATTTACAAATCTGGGGAGATGGGTTATTAGTAGACCCACTATGGTAGCACAGCTAGAACAATGAGCATAGTTTATTTAAAAATTGGTGTCTGACCTTGGAATAAAGAAAAACTTGACTTTCACATTACATTTGGTTAAATTATAATAAATATATTTTGTACACATTTCTACAGGTGGAAGAAAAATGCCACCACCTTTCTTTTTTCCCTCTCATTCATTTAGAAGTCAGTGCTTTGGATATATCACAGTTGATTTAAGTATACACCTGCTGATGGACCTAATTTCATTCCTTTAGAAATGTATCCTGTAGTGGCAGACATTGAATAGAAGCCATTGTACTGGGCACTCTGGGTATGTAGTTGTGAATAAGAACAGACATGTTCTTATGATGCTCATGACCTAATGTAAGGAAAGACAATACACTAAAAAATTTAAAACAAGGGTATCAAGTTGTTTCCTTTTTCTCTCTACTGACATTCAGGAACATGCTTGGCTGTTATTGTTACTGTTTCACAGGTAGCTCAAACTTACTTTCCCAGAACTGAATTTAGCAACTTTATCCTTTGGGGGCCCTCTCTGGTGGTGCAGCGGGTTAAAGCCCAGCACTAAGAAGCTGAAGCCACTTCCGCATGAGTTCCATCCTCACCTGCCCCGGAAGTGATCCACATGGCACATGGCTTGGCACACCTCTCCTGACCCACTCACTGCTCACCTCAGCAGTGTACTTCAATGATATGCCTGTTCTGTTCCCCACTCTGTCTCTGGTGAAGCCTCTCACCGCCCCTGCACCTCTGGCCTGTACCCCAGTTCTGAATGCACAAAAAAATAAATCTTAAAAAAAACTTACCCTTTGGGAGCCCACCCTGGTGGTGCACTGGCGGCACAGCCGGTTAGCACACAGCACTGCAAGCTAGCCACTGCTGCTTCAGTGCGAATTCCATCCCTGGCACCCAGTGTGATCCACATGGCATGGCAGACCTCTCCTGTCTCACCCGACCCTGTTCTGTTCCCCTCTGTCTCTGGTGAATCCTCTCACTGCCCCTGCACCTCTGGCCTGTACCTCAGTTCTATATGCACAAATAAATTAATCTTTAAAAAAAAAAAAGCCCTGACCCTTTGGGTACTCTCAGATCTCTTTTCTGTATTATTTCTTATGACTGTACGTGAATCTACAGTGTTTGTTAAAATGAAGTTTAGTTAAAAAGCAAAAAAAAAAACCCCAAACTATGGCAGGGATCTTGGTGTTAGCATGCCCTCTACCTACTGCCCCCACACCTGCAACTGGAAAGATCTGGTCTTGGTTTCACATAATCTAGCCATTCTTCCTTTGTGTTGTGTTGACCTCTCAAATAGATTTCTGTTAAACCTCAGGCTCCTCAACAGCTCTCAAGAGTTGGTGAGAATTAAGCTCTAATGCCCTAAGGCATCCTTTGTATCCATTCAGTGAGTTAACTTCTCTCCTAGGCACCCAGAGTGGTAAGAGCTGTATGTATTCTTAGAATTGAGATTTGAGAAGAGGTCATTGTGTGTAGAGATTCTTTTATGGTACTACAGTTTAGAAAGACCATTGGAGAAAGCAGACTCGGAAAAGCAGAGACTTTATGTTCATTATTCTAGCTCCAGGCCCATTTAACAATGTCTGATACAGAGCAATTGTTCAACAAATCTTAGTGCCACAAACTTTGTTGCATGCATGAATGAAGGGATGATGTGTTCTTTCTGCCTGATAACCCTGATCTAATTCCATTTATTCTAAACATTGTTCACAGCTCACTTTTACTACAGATCTAGCCATATTATTCTCCTGATGGTCAGAGAGAGATTGACCTTGGAATTAAAAGTTACTATATATCAGAAGTTGGTGCTTTCCTAATGGTGGGAGAGGAGTAAGGTCACCAGATGTAGGAATGACCTTGTTTTAGCATTGAAAGTCCTGTGTCCCAAGAAATTCCACAACCTAAGCAAACCAACATGATTGGTCATCTAAAATAGGGGCTGGGCATAATTCCCAGGCACTGAATTGGGCTGCTTAAGGAGAGAATCTCTCTTCCCTACTCCCCTGCCTCATACCTGTAGGTTGGTAGTTTCCGAGTTCAGCTACCTATTCTCCCCTCTTGCTTGCCAGCCTACTTCCAACTTATTCTTTGTAGTAGGCTCTGTTTGTATATACGTGTATTTATTATTATTTTTTAAAGATTTATTTGTTTATGTATACAGAACTGGGGTATAGGCCAGAGGTGCAGGGGAGGAGAGAGATTCACCAGAGACAGAGTGGGGAGCAGAACAGGCAGGGGAGCAGTGGGTAGGTCAGGAGAGGTCTGCAGTGCCATGTGGGTCATATGGATCACCTGGTTGAGGATGGGGGGCAGGGATGAACTCTCAGTGAAGCCTTTGTGGCTAGCTTGCAGTGCTGCACTTCAACCCTTGCACCACCAGGGAGGACCCTCTTTTTGTATATTTTTACATGTCTGACTAGAAACTGTATCTAATTCTCTGTGTATGCAGGGCTGAAGCCCAAACTCTTCCTTAGCCTGGCACCAAAGCCATGGCCTCCAGAAGCAGACTGTCTAGTCTAGTGTAGGCTCTCTGCCTCTGATTCTCTGCTGACCTTAGATAAGCTATTTCACTTCATAAGTTCCTTCCTTCCCTCATGAAAAAAATGAGGCTAATAATAGCACCTCCTCAGTGGGCTGCGCTGAGAATTAAGTAAATTGATACAGATTTAAAGCACTGCCATGTTTTCATTTCTGGCTTATTTTTCTCCGAAGTGAGGCTGCTACACAGAGGACTTAGATATAGGTTGTCAGTGTGTCTCAGGGTGAGAATGTGCTCTTCCCGTATATTGTGACAGTTCTGGGGGCCTATGTCGATGCCCTGCTCCTGAGGCGGTGCAGCACTGGAAGCTGAGCCGGCCATGGGAGCTTTGGGAGGATGCCTGTACTTGCTATGAAAACTTCATCAGCCTTCCAAGATGGCGATAGCAGTAGCCATGGGGCGAATAATTGACTTCCACCTGCAATAAATCAGGTGTTGAATGTAAGAAATTTGCCATTCAGAGTCATAGTGGAAGATATGTAGATCTATTTGGGAAATATGGATCTGTGATGATATCAGTAGGGAACACATCAGAAAGGGGAACAGCTAAGCAGAATCTTTGACGCCCAAGAACCATGTGATCACCACGGGGACTCAGTATTTGTAACAGATGCCTTGTAGTTTTGTACATAATGCTAACAGGACATTTCAGAAGATGAACACACAAAGAAAGAATAGTTGAAGTTTCTCAAGGAGACATAGGGCATCAACACAAAGTCACCAGAATAAATGCTTTCTGTATTTTCATTTTGGGTTAATGCTGAATATTGTGATTTCTTATGGAATTCAGAATGCTCTCAAAACTTTGATACATATTAGAGTGTTTTATATTAATAAACTTGTAGCTTTTGTTAAGTCAGATATTTCCTAATGAATGCTATCATCTCCTTACCCCATCTTTAACCTTACCTGTCTCTACTCTCCTGTATTTAAGATCTTAAGCTCTAGCTAAAAGGGCCCATTGGTTTCCCAGCCATACACAGTACGTATTTGAATTTTTGCCTTATAAGAGCATTATTCATTTCTCTGCTTATTTAAGTACTACTCTTAAAGTAGTACTTAAGGCAACTTAGTAGAATCCTAATATATTGCATCCCACTTCTGTGCTTTTCATCAGTATGTGAGCTGTGACCCCTGGTTTGTAGTGTTAGTGGTACTCAGTTCTTGCTTGTTGGTAGCAAAGTGAACATTTAAAAGGGGAGTTCTTGAGATGGCCAGACTCCAAGTTGTTTGTCTTAAGGATCTCTCTTTTTCTAGCCAAGATCGCCCTTGCTGGAAGTGAAAGGCAACGTAGAGCTGAAGAGGCCCCTGGTCAAGGCCCCTTCCCGGTTGCCTCTGTCAGGACACAGGCTTAAGAGGGGGCCTAGCCAGATGGAGGATGCCTTGGAGCCTGAGAAGGTGAACTGGATTTGGAAAGCACTGTGTGTGTGTGTGTGTGTGTGTGTGTGTGTGTGTGTGTGTGTGTGTTTCTAGAGTGAGAGAACTAATTAGGGAAGGTAACGATGGACCTTATTCTTGTCTTTTCTCAGAAAAGGACACGAGGCCTAGGCACAACAATTAGAACTGCCACATCCCGCCCCAGAGCATCTGTCCTCACCACAGTGCCACAGACACAAGGCCAGACCACAGGTGGGCTCTAGGGGTGGACAGAGGGCAAGGACATGAAAGTCCAGTGCTCCTCAATTCATTTGCTTCAATTTTACTTATTTTGAATAGGTAATAAGTTTCACTAGGCTCAAAATTCTTAAGGTACACAGTTGTTATACAGTGAAAAGTCTCCTTCCTGATGACTTCCACCAACTAATTATTTCCCCTCCCTGGGGAACTGCCTGGGATACTGTGGGTATTCAAAAAAAGCTGGACATGTGCTCCAGTATTTTTAATACAATGGTAGCATACTTTACACATAGTTCTGCTCCTCTGCTCTTTTTGCCATCGTGCTCCAACTTGTTTTCTGGCATGCTGAGTAATTCAGACCCCAAGAAGGGTATCTATGAACTGACCAATTTAGGGGAAGAGGAAGGGATGTTTAATTATTTCTAATCCTCAAGTAAAGCAACTCCCCTACTCCCACCCAGCAAGAGTCCAGACACCCCCAGAGTGATCCTTCTGTTTTTACCTCTTTCCCGTCTCCCAACAGCTCCAAAACTTCCCAAGAAGCCAGGACCTCGAGGTTCCACAGCTGTTGCTCCAGGTAATAGCACCAAGGAGCTGAGCTGAGCAGGGATTTGGGTGTGCATACAGGGAGAATGATGGAGGTGGAAGCACATGGTGCTATCATTCCTTATGTCAACTTTCCAATTGTCTAGTGTTGAAGAATCAGAAGCCAGCCCCTGCTGTTCCTGCTCAGAAGCCAGGCAGTAAGTGACAGACATAACTGTTGGGTGAGAGACTGGGATAGGGAAGAGGAGTTGGTGAGTATCCAGAAAAGTCCATTTGTTCTCTTCCTCTTTTGAGGGGAAGGAGAGGTAGCATTAGGTATGGGGGCCCCCAAGGCTAGGAGGGAGGAGATAGACATAGCCAAGGCTTCCCTGACCCTCCTCCTTATGTGCCCACCTTAGCAGCTGCTGCTCCTTCTGCGCCGGGAGGAAAGAGACCCAGCAAACGTCCAGCCTGGGACTTAAAGGGCCAGTTATGTGACCTAAACATAGAGCTGAAGTGCTGTCGTGAGAGATCCCAGACTTTGGATCAGGAGAACCAACAGCTGCGGGACCAGCTCAAGGTGGCCCAGCAACAGGCCACTGCACTGGGGACAGAGCGCAGGACACTGGAAGAGGAGTTGGCCAGGGTGCGGGCCCAGGCTGAACAGGGCCAGCTGGAACTGAGGAATTTGAATGCCCGGGTCCTGGAGCTGGAAGAACGTCTGGGCACGCAGGAGGGCTTGGTACAAGAGCTCCAGAATGAACAGCTGGAATTGCAGGAGGAGCGGAGGAAACTGACTGCCCGCTTGGAGGAGCAGGAGGTAAATGGCAGGTTCTCCTCTCCAGGTTGTCCTGAAGTCTCTTTGGGCTTAGCCCTGACCACCTCCCTCTGGCACCTATGTCCTTTACCCATCTCCACCCCAGGAGACTCACTGCTCTGTCTTACTTTCTACCCCACTTCCTACCCTTGACTCTGTCTTCATAGTTCCCTCCTGCACCCCTTCTCTATCCCTCCCCATTTCTTTCTCTTCTCTATCAAAAACCCCCATGGCATTTTCTCCTTTGAGTGTCCATCTGACTTATCCTACACCAACTAAATTGAATTACTTTAAGTGACTTCAAATCTTGCTTAAGAGTACTTTGCACATATGAAATGTTCTTTCTGTATTCCCCTGTGTCCTTGGTTTGCTCTGGATTTTTCAGTATCAGCCTAAATATCATCTTCTTTGTGCCCCTTCTGGATATTCCAAGTAATTCTTATCTTGGTACTATGATTCCTTGGGGGCAGAGACAACCTCCCTGCTACCCCATCATGACTTGTTCTCATTCTTGGTTGTGTCTCCACCTCTGTGTCTGTTCTGTCCTTCAGAGGAGGCTGCAGGCATCAGAAGCAGCTCTCTCTGGCAGCCAAGCAGAGGTGGCATCTCTGCGGCAGGAGACTGCAGCCCAGGCTGCCTTACTGGCTGAGCGGGCAGACCGTCTCCATGGGCTAGAGATGGAGCGCCGGCGCCTGCACAACCAGCTCCAGGAACTCAAAGGCAACATCCGTGTGTTCTGCCGGGTGCGCCCTGTCCTTCCCGGGGAGCCCACCCCGCTCCCAGGCTTCCTCCTATTCCCTTCTGGCCCTGGTGGACCTTCTGATCCTCCAACCCGCCTCAGCCTCTCCCGAGCTGATGAGCGGCGTGGGACCCTGAGTGGGGCTCCAGCCCCCACCACCCGCCATGACTTCTCCTTTGACCGGGTATTCCCACCAGGAAGTGGACAGGATGAAGTGTTTGAGGAGATTGCCATGCTTGTCCAGTCAGCCCTGGATGGTTACCCAGTATGCATCTTTGCCTACGGCCAGACAGGCAGTGGCAAGACCTTCACAATGGAGGGTGGGCCTGGGGCAGACCCCCAGGGGGAAGGGCTAATCCCTCGGGCCCTGCGGCACCTGTTCTCTGTGGCCCATGAACTGAGTGGCCAGGGCTGGACCTACAGCTTTGTAGCAAGCTACGTGGAGATCTACAATGAGACTGTCCGAGACCTGCTGGCCACTGGAATCCGAAAGGGCCAAGGGGGTGATTGCGAGATTCGCCGGGCAGGGCCAGGGAGCGAGGAGCTGACTGTCACTAATGCCCGATATGTTCCTGTCTCCTGTGAGAAAGAGGTAAGCACTGATGGGCACTGGAACTGGAAAATGGGGAGGGGTACACACTGCCACCAGATGGAAGCAGATGAAGCAGGAGAGATTGAAGGCTGAAGAAAGGATAAGGTAAGTTGCCACATTCAGGTTTTGTCTGATGGGCTCCAAGGACTGCCTTGGTGGAAGCTGGGAGTGGACAATGGGATTCATCTGCTTAAAGTGGGGGGGGGGTCTCTCCCCTCTAGGATGTTCTTCTCTTCACTAGGCATACCTGCCAAGGCCTTTACACTTGCTCTTTCCTCAGCCTGAATGTTTCTCTCCTAGCATGGCTTGTCCCTTAAGTTCTTAAAGCAATGAGGCTACCTGGCCATTCTGTCTAAAATTACAAACCTCCCCCATCCTCACAGGAGAGGTCTGCCATGCTGTGTGGGTCACCTCCCTGACCGGGAATCAAACTCGCCCTGCAGTGTCTGCGGATAGCTTCATAGTGCTGTGCTTGCACCACCGAGATGGGCCCTGTGCTGACCTGACCTTTTTCCCTTGCCACTCCCCACCCCTAGGTGGAGGCCCTACTTCATTTGGCCCGCCAGAACCGGGCTGTGGCCAGCACAGCCAAGAATGAGCGGTCATCACGAAGCCACAGTGTGTTCCAGCTGCAGATCTCTGGGGAGCACAGTGGACGAGGCCTGCAATGTGTGGCCCCCCTCAGTCTTGTGGACCTGGCTGGGAGTGAGCGTCTGGATCCTGGCTTAGCCCTTGGCCCTGGGGAACGAGAACGGCTTCGGGAAACGCAGGCCATTAACAGCAGCCTATCCACACTGGGGCTGGTCATCATGGCCTTGAGCAACAAGGTGGGAATTGGGTGAAGGGCAGGTGCAACCTGGAGGGAGATTGGGCTGGCCACACAATTCTGTCCTGTCTGATCACCTGTCCTCTTCAACCCTCTAGGAGTCCCACGTGCCCTACCGCAACAGCAAGCTCACCTACCTGCTACAGAATTCTCTGGGCGGCAGTGCTAAGATGTGGGTGGAAGAAGGGGGTCTAGTGGGGGGGACTATGATGTTGGGTTCAATGGTGGGAAAGGGGAAATTATAACAGAAATCTGGTCCTCACTCTGCCCAGTCACTGATGCTGGGGTTTGGACCTCCCCCCCCACCCCCATCTCTCCACAGGCTCATGTTTGTGAACATTTCCCCGCTAGAAGAGAACTTCTCCGAGTCCCTCAATTCCCTACGTTTTGCCTCCAAGGTGTGTTTACTACCAAGCCCAGGCGCTCTCAGGACCCCTGAGTGGTTGGCTTCTCTATCTTGATCCCCTCTGTCTTTTAGGCTAAGGGGCACATTCATCCAGAAAGGATTTAGATTTACCAGGCACCTGGGATACTACCCACCTGGATCTATTTGTAACTCTTCACTTTTAGGAATTTTTATTTATTTATTTTTAAAAATCAATGCTCAGCATAATGATGTTTTCTCACTACGCCTGTCCACTTCATCTTCCTCACCTGTCCTACTAGAGGTAGTCATTTCTGTCACTTACCTTTTTACTTATCCTTCCAGTGTGCCTTTTTACAAATACAAGCAATATGTGTGCTTATTCGCCTCCTTCTTTCAAAAAAAGACACTTCTCTGCCTCACATTTTTCTGTGCTTTCTTTTGCTTAATAATACAGTGCCAAAATTACCTCCCACCAACTCATTCCGTTATTTTTCCTCACGTCCTCCCAGGACTCCATTCTGTGAATGCAGCAAAGTTTATCCACCAGTTCCCTCTACTGGACACTTGGATCGCTTCCACCTTCTTTTTATTACAAACAAGGCCATGTCGACTAACCTTGTATAATGACTTTGTATTTGTTTAGTTATATCTAACTAACTGTCTAGGGAGAAATGGGGTTGTTGGGCCAAAGGAGACTTAGAGATTTTTCAGACCATTTCATATTGTCAATTCAGGCTCTAAGCCTCTCAAGGATCAGTTGTGACAGTTGTGAATTCTCCAGGAAACTTAAGCTCCTCCTTCCATTGTAATTAAATCAGAAAGTTTCTTTTCTGTGTTCTTCTATCTTTCTCTGTTTTTCTCTGGTTAATCCTTTTTCTGAGAGGAAAACCCTACCATGGATTTGGCTTTATATAGCTCTCTTCTCAAGTGGCCACCCAATCAGACTTGGTTGCTGTCAAATAAGTAGTCATCTACCTTAGCTCCTAGCCCTGGTCTGCTTTTATCAGCATTTACCTGCCATCATGCAAGTTTTAGTTAATATCTGTGTTATTAGTATCTAACAACATGAGAGTTCTTTAATATGCTACTCAGTTTACCTTAAATTTTACCTAATTGTCTCAAAAACATCTTTAACATCAGATTTGTTCCCATCAAAAGTCAGGCAACGCCCATCCACCTCACTTGATTGAAATGTCTCTTAAGTTTGCTTTATTAACTCTATCCCCTTTTATGCTTTTATTTGTTGAAGAAATTGGCTCATTTGTCCTAAATAATTTACCACATTCTGGATTTTAACTGGTTGCTTCCTCTTCCTGCATATTTTGTTTTCTGGTAGTTTGATTTAGAAGCTTGATTAGACTTGAATGAGGTTCAGATCTCAAAGAAAACTTAGGTGATGCTGTATATTTTCAGTAAGCACCTAAAAATTGACCATTTGGTTTGGATGTTGTCAGCCTGATATGTCCATTCAAAAATTCCCTATTGATGTTACCACCTAATGATTTTATTAATGATCATACCTAGATCTTTTACTTCATTAGGGAATTTCAAATTGGTGGTTTTCTAATTTTCTCGGTCATTTTACATTTACTATTCATTGATTTCTTCTGTAAAGAACTTCCTTTGACGTCTGTTAATCTGAATTTCAGTAAATTTCGGAAAGGCAGGATAAATGCTGGATTGTATATCAATTTTCCAGTATTCTAAGTTGATAGCCTGGCAGCTCCCAAACCAAATCTGTTAAATGTTTATCTGGGGGATATCATTTTACAGATACTTATGTGTTTGATATATAATCCTTTCCATTGTTAATTCTCAACTCAAATTGTTCCTGTTGCCAGTGAAAAATCCTTCAAGTTGACTCAGTGTCTGTTAGACATGACCCCTGTACTCTTTATTCCAGATAGATCTTGTATATTTCCTGCCCTAGACTTGGGATCATTCAGCTTTCAAGAAGCATTGCTCCCTAAATTATTGTTAATATTCTATCTGGCTTATTAAGCATGTAAGTGGTATCTCCAGTCCATGCCCCAGTATGGGGCTTCTGTTCTTTCTTGTACTTTTTCATCCCTGCCAGAGCTAATGTGCCATCAGAGTCTATTTAACCAACCATCAGAGTCTATTTCAGTATTCACTGAAGGCAGCCCTACTGGGAGTCTGGGGGGAGGTGATATGGGGGAAGTTCATTTGGTTATTCTGAAAACTTTACCCTGTCTAATCCCCGTCCGCAGGTGAACCAGTGTGTTATCGGTACTGCGCAGGCCAACAGGAAATGAAGACCTATCCAGATTCTGAGTGTGGGTGTGGGAGGGGGAGGCATTGAGGGATGCTTCCTTGGGGGAGGGGGGTGCTGTATTACTTGGGCCTATCAGATAAAGATCAATTTTATTGTTTTTTTTTCTAAATAAAGATTGTATTGGGGTTGCCAAATGAGGCAGGCTTTTTTTCTTATCTATGTAAAGGTGGGGAACTGTGGCCAATCACTTTTGTTTCTGGGGGCGAGGGACTTTAGCTTTTTTGCCCCTGGCGTCTGGAGACTGGCTATCTGCAGGTCCCCCTTGCCACAGGTTACCCCAGCCCTGGGCGGATACTCTCCCTTAGTGGGTGTGAGGAGTGCCTGAGCCGTGGCCAAAGCACCCGCCCATAAACTGCTGGCAGTTTCCTCCCGCCCTTTCCCTGCCTTCCCTTTCGAACCGCCAAGGCTAATGCCCCCGCTGCCCATTGGCCGACTGGGTAGCGTCACGGCCCCGCTGCTAGCCCTGGTCCCGCGCGCCCGTCCGGGAGGCGCCGAGCGGGGCGCACACCCGCCGACTCCCTCGCGCCAACAGCCGTCACCCGTGAAGGAGGGGCTCAGTCCTCTCAGGTGCCGCGGGCGGGGGGGTCACGCGTGCGCAGAAGTGCGGCGGTGGGGCGGGGCTGCCGGGGAAGTAGGGCGGGGCCGGGGGGGCCAAAGACGGGAGGGGCGGGGCATTCGAGGGTGGAGGGTGTGGCGGGGGCAAGAGGAAGGGTGAATGGAGGGCGGGGTCGTGAACTGGGGCTGGGGGGCGGGACTTGGAGTGACATTGGAGGGGGGCAGTTAACGGATGTGGCATGGGGCTGGGTGCCAGTCGTGAAGTGGGCTGGCGGGAGTGGGGGGATTCCCTCCTGCCCCGAGGGCGGGTCTCCCTACTGAGGAAGGGGCTGCGGGGATTCCCTCTCTCACGGGGTCTGACTGGCCGTCTGCCCCAGCCGCAGAGAGGCTGCCTTTAGCTCTGCGCCCTCCAGGCCTTTCGGAGGTGAGGGAGGTGGGGTGAGGTGCCCGCCCCCCCCACCCCCGGCTCCTCCTTCCCCCCAAGTCCTCCCCTCCCACCACCCTCCCCCCGAGCCGGTTCGTCCCTCCCCTCCCCTCCCCTCCTTCCCCCAGCCGCCTCCTCCTGCCGCTGCCGCTGCTTTGGCTGCTGCGTCATACGCCCCAGAGCCGCTGGGACGGAGGGGCTGGGCCTGGGGACCTCCCCAGCCTCTGCCTGCACGCCCCCCGACGCCCAGACGTGCTCTCCCCGCGCGGGGGGTTCGCTTCGGTCTCCCACGTCTGCCTCTGCCCAGCTCCCGGCGGCCCCAGCTGTCACTGGTAAGGAGGCGGCGGGAGGCGCCCGTGGGGGGGGCAGGGAGCCGGGGGTCGGCGCACTGAGCGGGCTGGAGAGCCTCGCTGCGCTGACATCGGGTCGGGTTGGGCCGACTCAAGTCCCTCTCGGACTAGTGACCGGTCTTGGGTAGTAAAGACTGGGACTGGGACACGCCCCCCTCCCGGGGCACTCAGGGAAGTTATCTAACCCCAGGGCAGTGAACCCCGAATTTGAGGGTGACCTGACATAACCTGGTGCCAGGATGATTGTTCTGAATGGGACGCGCGTGCCTGGGGAAGCAGCCGTTTCTACTCTAGAAAACATTTCCAGAAAAGCTCCCAAAACACATCTCTGGGTAACAGAACACGCCAATTATGACACCCCTGAACAGCAGAAGGTGACAGTAGAAACAGTGTTAACCTTCTGCAATCATCGTTTCTGCTAAAACCTCAAGGCCAGCATGCAATATCCCAGGAGAGCTCTGGAAGCTTGGAAACTAGAGAACTAGGTTGGGAGAGTGGGGAGTGTATGGATGAGGAAAGCCAGTTGACAGAGTTGGAAGAGCTGGAGTTCAGAAGCTCTTAAGGGGTTCCAAGTGGTTTCCTATCCAGGTGTCTCAGGGATTTAGAGACCCAGGGGTGCAGCTGCTTGAGTCCTGGACAGAAAAAAAGGCAAAGAACATTGGAATAGTTTCTCAGTATTCATAATGTTCTTCTTTCACCGCATTTCTGGCTAGGTGCCCCCCCAGGATGCAATGGCACAGCCCCCCCGGCTGAGCCGCTCTGGTGCCCCTTCATTTTGGGACCCAGCTTCCCCTGCTCCCACGTCAGGCACCAGACCTCGACTTTGGGAAGGTCAAGATGTTCTGGCCAGATGGACAGATGGGCTGCTGTATTTGGGGACTATCAAGAAGGTAAGACCTTTGACTTCTGACCTGTCACCTTACCCCTATCGCCTTTGTTCTGGTTCCCATTTCATCCTCTATGCTCACCCAATCTAGGTCGACAGTGCTCGGGAGGTGTGCCTGGTCCAGTTTGAGGATGATTCCCAGTTTCTGGTTCTATGGAAAGACATCAGCCCTGGTAAGAGCCTAGAGGACTGAGCATGCATTCCTTGACAAACAGAAAGCTGACTTGGGGACAGAAAGGAGCTTAAGAACAGGCCCTGTGACTCTGTGTTCCTTCACAGCTGCCCTCCCTGGGGAGGAACTCCTCTGTTGTGTCTGCCGCTCTGAGACTGTGGTCCCTGGGAACCGGCTGGTCAGCTGTGAGAAGTGTCGCCACGGTGAGAGGGCAGATGCCTAAATGACCCAGGTTGCCTCTGGCTCATCCCCTCAGCACTGGTCCTTATGCCATTTGTCCTGGCCTGGGTCCCCCAGCTGCTGCTCTGGCCAGTTTCTAACTTCACCTACTTCCAGCACAGGGAGAGGCAACCATGGGATGGGGATGTGTGTTTTGCTGACAGAAAGTGGTCCAAACACATCCTTTCTAACCAGGGGCCAAACCCTAAACCTCTAAAAGTCTCAGTTCTTGCATGTGTAAGAAACATACACCCATCTCAGTGAGACCATGGTCAAGAATTGTGAGGTGGATACAACTCTTCTGTCCTGGTACCTAGGGCACTACTCTGGCAGGCAATGCCATAAGGGTCTGTCAATATTCTCATTACTCAGCTTATCACCAGGATTGTCATGTTCCAAGGGCCCCAGCCCCCGGAGAGGGAGAGGGCCCATCCTGGGTCTGCCGCCAGTGTGTCTTTGCCATCGCCACCAAGGTAAAGGCGCCCTCCTGTGGGAAGCTCCCACCTGCAGCCTCCCCCAACCTTTCGCCTCTCCCCTCTGAGGCTCCTGTTCTGTCTGCAGAGGGGAGGTGCGCTGAAGAAGGGCCCCTATGCCCGGGCCATGCTGAGCATGAAGCTCTCTCTGCCCTATGGACTAAAGGGGCTTGACTGGGACGCTGGACATCTGAGCAACCGGCAGCAGAGCTACTGTTACTGTGGTGGCCCTGGGGAGTGAGTAGTGAAGGGCTGGGGGTAAGGAATGAGTGATGTGGCAGCGGTTCTCCCAGGGAGGAGGAAGAGCAGGGTGAGGGGAGCGCTACAGGGATGGGAGTAGGTAAGCCGGGTATGGCAGTGAAGGGGGGTGTATCCGGAGGCCACTAGTCCTGTGTTTCCCCTCAGGTGGAACCTGAAAATGCTGCAGTGTCGGGGCTGCCTGCAGTGGTTCCATGAAGCCTGCACCCAGTGTCTGAGCAAGCCCCTCCTTTACGGGGACAGGTGAGAGCAGGGGAGCCTTTCTGGGACCCCCACTCTGGGAGCGCGAGGGCCAGCTTTCCTCTTCACCCATCTGTCTGATCCACTTGCTTCCCAGTCTCTGTAGCTGTCCTTACCTGTCACCCCTTTCTTGCTTGAGAGTCCTCCATAGTATGGGTTAGTTTTCCTGAATGAGGTGTGTTCTCTCCCTCTTGCCCATGTCCAGGTTCTATGAATTTGAATGCTGTGTGTGTCGGGGGGGCCCTGAGAAGGTCAGGAGGCTGCAGCTGCGCTGGTGAGCTGGATCAGGCATGACCCCCATGTACCTCCTTTCCCAGCACAGGCAGTCCCCTGGCTTTTGTAATGCTTCTTTTGATGCCATGTTTCTGCAGGGTGGATGTGGCCCATCTTGTCCTCTATCACCTCAGTGTTTGTTGTAAGAAAAAATACTTTGATTTTGACCGTGAGATACTACCCTTCACCTCTGAGAACTGGGACAGTTTACTTCTTGGAGAGGTAATGGGTCCTGAAGCTTTGGGGGTTAGTGTGGAATAGGAAGATGCAAAGGGGATGGGAGGCATCACCGCTTCCTTGATTGCATTTTCCTTCTCCTCCCCAGCTCTCAGATACCCCCAAGGGAGAACGTTCTACAAAGCTCCTCTCTGCTCTCAATGGCCACAAAGACCGGTGAGTTGAAACAGAGATAGGGGTGTGAAGCTTGGGAAGGAGGGGCTGGAACCCCTGGGAAGATCATCTCTGCAAGGTTAAGTAATGGCATGAGTGTGAACCTTCTGCAGAACTGATCCTGTGTCACTTCTTTCCTCATCCCAGTTTCATTTCGGGGAGGGAGATTAAGAAGAGGAAATGCTTGTTTGGTCTTCATGCTCGGATACCTCCCCCTGTGGAGTGCCCTACTGGAGACGGAGTCCCCACCAGGTCACTGGTCCAGGAGGGATGGGAAATTCTCAGGGCATTAATCTGGGGGTAAACTTAAGGGAGATGGGGAGGACTTTGGGGCATCAGGGAGGGGGCTGGGGGGATAAGGAGGCCTCTTACAGCTTCCCTTCAGGGCAGGGCCCTGGGGGAGGGGTCTCACGTCCCCTGGGGAAGCGCCGGAGGTCCGAACCAGAGCCCTTGAGGAGGAGGCAGAAGGGGAAAATGGAGGAGCTGGGGCCACCCTCAGCAGTGCGCAATCAGCCCGAGGCCCAGGACCAGAGGGAGCGGGCTCGTCTGCAGAGGGCACTGCAGGTACAGGTGCAGGGGGATCCCCTCGGGGCAAATGGTTGGACTTGTCCCACTGGATTCACTTGAACGAGTCAAGGATTCACTCAGTTTTTTGCCCTCCTTCTAGGCCTCAGTGTCTCCACCACCCTCCAGCCCTAACCAGAGTTACCAGGGCAGCAGCGGCTACAACTTCCGGCCCACAGATGCCCGCTGCCTGCCCAGGTTAGTATGATCACAACTCAAATCTCTCCTGCAATTGTTTCCATCTTCTGAACCTTATCACCCAGAATTTATACCCCCTTGGCTACACAATTCTTGTCCTAGAAACTTCTGGAATCAATGTCTGGTCCCCAGTATCTGAGGCTGACTGTTCCTTAAGGGTAGTGTTTGAGCTCTGGCTTTCTCCGGGGAGAGGGTATTGTTTCCCAGCTTCATGTTCTGACTTTCCCTTCCTCAACTTCAGCAGTCCCATCCGGATGTTTGCTTCCTTCCACCCCTCTGCCAGCACCGCAGGGACCTCTGGGGATGGTGAACCCCCAGATAGGTGAGATTCTGCCTTTGTACCTGTGACCCCCCTCTTTGCCTCTGTGTCCTTAAATCTTCAGTGTAATTACTTCTTGGTTCCTCTGATCCTCATGTGGCCTCCATTGCCTGTTAGTCCTTTCTTGCATCTGGACTCAGCTGCCTTCTCTCCCTAGGTCACCCCTGGAACTTCACATTGGTTTCCCCACAGACGTCCCTAAAAGTGCCCCTCACTCGATGACTGCCTCATCTTCCTCAGTCCCAGCCCTCCCCCCAAGTCTTCCTAGACGTTCAGCACCCCCTTCTCCCCTATGCCGTAGTTTGTCTCCTGGAACTGGGGGAGTCCGAGGTGGGGTTGGCTACCTGTCCCGAGGGGACCCTGTCCGGGTCCTTGCTCGGAGAGTACGGCCTGATGGCTCTGTGCAGTACCTGGTTGAGTGGGGAGGTGGGGGCATCTTCTGAAGAGCCTGCCCTTGCCCATCTCTCTATTCACACACACCGGCACTTTCAATACCCTGACCTCTGACCTCACCTACAGCTGGGATGTACCTGGAGAGGTAGGGGGTAATTCTCTCTACTTCCCAGGCTGGAATCCAGGAGGGGGGTTGGCGAAGACACTCTCTTCTCTACCCCCTTCATGATTCCTGACCCCTCCCCCACCCTTTTTCCCATTTCTTTTGATGTTATTTTGTTACAGCTTTTTAAATATTTTTTAAGATTATTTAACCCCTGGGGACAGGGACTGAGGAGGGGGGGGCTAATGATAAAGGATCCCAGACTCTATGATTGAAATAAAGATAACATAAATAAATGTAGTAGCTCTGAGTTTATTGTGAAAGATGAAGACACGGGGACTGGAAGCAGTCTAATCTTCCCAACCAATTCACAGACGTGACAATGAAAAAGGCGAAAGGCGAGAGGAGCAGAGATAGCATTTATTAGAAGCCATCACCTGGGAGTCAGTGGGCACGGACTAGGCAGGTGCAGGGCTCATCATGGCAGGACTGTGCTGGAGTCAGAAACTGACTCTGTAACCTGGCGCACCCAATGCAGGTAGGGGGAGTTTCCCTGCTCCACAGGTAATGCGATCACCTCAGCCACTTCATAAGGGTGCACAGAACTGTGGAAAGGAGAGGGGGAGCACCTAAAGATTGACCCAAAGAAGCCCAGGCCTTCAGACTGCCCAGCCAGTCCCACCTCCACAGTACACATCCCCACCCCTACCCATCTCCAAGTTCTTACCGAACAAAATCTGTCAATGCCGGAACCAAGGAACTCTGGGTTTTAATCATCTATGGGGCAAAGAAACATGGCTGACTATAGGGCGGGGTTGATTTTAGATTCACAGATGAGGGGCAGGGGCCACGGGGGTCCGGGAATTGAGGTTTTCTTGGGTGGGGGAATGTTTCTCACCATCAGCACCTCACTGTCTTCCTCAATCTTTCCTTTCCACTCATAACTGTAAAAGTTAGGGAGAGTGTGTTTCTCTCAAGGAAAAAGGCTGCCAGTCAGCCCCTACAGTAAGGTGAACCCCCCCAAGTCCTATGACTCACATGGATGTTATCTGAGGAATGAGGTTGACGCAGGCTGCCAGGCGCTTCTCCACCACAGCCCTGGAGGTGAAAATAACAGCCCATTCAGAGCGCTCCATGACCCGGATTTTGGCCCTAGCGGCCCATACTTGGGCTTCCAAAGAGGGAGCTAGCGTGAAGCAACAACTCCGCCCCCAACTCTCCAAACTCATTCTCCAACCACGCTGAGGTCCCCACCTTGCAATCTCCTTAGCGACCTTCTCATTGGGGCAGGTGACAAAGGCAGCAGACACCGAACCAGGTACATAGCCGGAGCCCGAGGCCGGTGAGGGCTGGGATGGAGGGCTTCCTGAGGCCATGGACAGCAGTGCTCGGGGTAGCAATAGAAGGCGGGAGGTCACAGGTAGCAGCGCCGGCATCCAAAGAAACGACAAGAGCAGAGCGGCCTGAGGGCAGGAGGTGAAATCGGTATCTCCCACAAATACCCCAGGAAACTGCACCCCGGGAAGACTTCGCTTGGACACTCACGTTCTGCCCTCCCTCTTCGGTACCCCCAAGGAAAAGGTCCTTGAAGTTCAGAGAGGAACTTGAAAAATTAAGGCAAAGACATGATTTTCACTAGCTCTTCTGGGGCTCAACTTCTGAGAATTGGGGTAGGAGTAGCGGTCAGGTCTTCGAGGACCGGAAGGGGCGGGGCCGGTCACTCACCCCTCCGCTGAGCAGGACTGCGGAAGCCCGTCCCCCTCTCATGCAACCTACGCAGGTAGAGGAGGGCTGAATATCAAACGCCACAAGTAAGGCGGAGAAAGAACCCCACAACCAGGAAGAGCGGCCTCTTCTTACCTGGGCGGCGACCACGTGATGAGAAACCAGCACGCACCACGTGACGGCCAAAACCCGACCACCCGAGCTCCAGAGCCAGCCAATCCTGGCCCTCACGTGGCTACGTTTGCCCCGCCTCCCGGTGAGGAGGAGCGAAGGGGCAGTTTGACCAATCAACAAACAGGCTGCAGACGTGCCTGGAAATAACACGCCCATTTCCGTGTAAACCGGAAACGGCCCATCGCTGAGTGAGGAGAGGCGCTGCGGCGTTCCACTGTCACGTGAGGGGGCCGGGTCCTCCCCAGGCGGCGGTAGCTCAATGAGAGACGGAAGAAGCCAATCGCCGGCCTGTCCCACACGCCACGTGATGAGAAAGCTGGCGCTAGAGAAGGGGGGCTGGAGACCCCGCAGACTCGATGCGTCAGGTTGTGGAGTTGGGAATCATACATAAATCCCAAAATGTGCCTGTTGACAGTCTGTTCTCGAGGCCCTAAAGAGTGGGAGGGTCAGAGAAGATTAAACCTCAGGGAGTGAAGAGAGCGCCCCCTGCCATTTTGGTTAGCACCCAAGTGTGCCTGGGTTTGGGAATGAACCAAGAGCATCAGAGAAGCCAGTTGTCCCTGGGCAGGGGAAGTGGCTAGGCAAGCACAGCCATGGCAAGATGATGGCTGGGCAAGGAAGGTGCGCCCTGTCAGTGGCAAAGAGGATAATGAAAATGGGCTGAGGGCACCCCAGACTGCTTAAACCCCTGAGCTGGAAAGACACTGGTGAATCCTGGGAAAGAAGAGATGAGGGCTCGCGGTTGGGGCTATGGAAGTAGCGATGGTCACTCTGTCACTTATCTCTTCCCATTTCATTCTTCAGGACAGGTCTACTACCCCTCAGGCTTGGGTCTCCTTCCCTTAACCCATCCCCCTAGGAGCCAGGACCTGCCCTACATTGCCTCCCTGGGGCCCAAGCACATCCTCTGACCCAAAAATGGAGAGAGGGGCCAATGAGAGGAGAGAAAGGTGGGACAAGGCAGCAAAGGAAAAGGCTCTTGCGCATCCCCAACCCAGCATTCCCCCTTCCTCCAAGATCTGGGTCTACTGGGTGGGTGTGACTGGGCTTTTACAGGCTGATGTGTGAGTTCTCTCATAACCATCTCCCTGGGGTTGGGGACTACGTCTTTGGGAGTTTGCCTCTGAGATAGATCCCTGTGGAATCTCTCAGTATTGACATTGGAATCCTTCTCAGGACTGAGGTTCCTTTTTACTTTGGGGGGAGGGGGACATTCTGGGTCCCTCTCCTAGGTCTTTCAAACTCTGAGTTTGGGGAGTCTCTGAATTTCTGAATTTTCCATCTCTGGGCTCTCTGAATGACTCTCCCCCACCCCCTCCAAGTATGGAGTTTCTCTGTCTCTGGATCTGCAGTTTCTTCTCTCTGAGATCTGTCTGGGGTCTCTAAGATTCCTCTCTGCGTTTGGTTTCTCGAAGAGCGAACTCTAAATCTGGGTGCTTTCTGAATTTGGGTCTCATCTTTTTCATTGAGTCCAGGTCTCAAATCTTAGTCCCTGAAATCACCATCTGAATCCTATGTCTAAGATTTCTGTGATGGAGAATCTTGTTGAGCCTGGAAGCTCAGATTTTTCACCCCTGACCTCTGGGGAGGACTTGGCGTCTGACACTGGGGCGTCTTTCCCTCTAAATTTTGGGTTTGTGCCTCAGATTACCCCCTCCCACTCCGGGGGGAGGGGGAAGTGTCTTTTTCTGGGGGTCTAGGGTCTCTAGTCTCTGCCTTCATGGTCTGCGTCTTTAGAACTGCTCTCTCTCTGGTGTATTTGAGTCAGGGGTCCGTTCTCTCAGATTCTACTGAGTAGGGGTGGGGGCTGCAGTGTCTCTCTCTCCTCCTCCTCCTGCTCTCTCCTCTCTCGCTCGCTCCCCCGCCCCCCTCTCTCTCTCTCCCGGCTGCCGCTGCTGCCGTTGGCTCCTATTCTCCTCCTCCTCCTCCTCTCTCCTCCTCTCTGCTCCTCTCAGCTCCTCTCTCCTCCTCTCTCCTCCTCCTCCTCCTCCACCTCCTCCTCCTTCTCCCCCTC